GCAATGTACTTGTAAGAACAGGCAGTGGAGGTTTTCAGACTTCCCGTCTGTGCTTGAGGATAGTTTGTAGCTGTTGTATGGCTCATTTAATTGCTTTTCACATTGGTCACCACCACAGAATGATGCCTTCTGAAGGTGTTAGTAGGTGGATAAGAACTGGTTTGCAGGTGTAAGGACAGTGCTTCCCCAGATGGCTCCCCCCTGTGTGAGCCGAGGACGCGGTCGGCTTTATCCAGTGAAGTCAGTGGCGGCTGCGGGGAGGTCTGTCCTGGCTCCCAGCCTGGTGAGCGTGGGCCCTGGGGTGCGGTTACAGATCAGGGCGGGTGGTGCCTTCATCAGCCTTTGACTTTTCAGAGGTTGGTCGGCTTTCCTGAGCAGAGAACTTGCGAGCCGGGTGGGTGGTTGTGGAGCAGGGCAGGGGACAGAGAGTTAATTCCGCGCTGCTGTGCGGTGCAGCTGACTCCCTGGGAGCGGGGGAGTGAGGGCGGGGGCGCCGGCTGCTGGGGGGACCGCTGCTGGGGCCCCGCCGCTGGGGCTCCGGGCCTCCTGCGGAGCTGAGCCCTGCTCTGGGAGCTTGTGTTTCTTTAGGTGACAGGAGAGTCTCTCACTTCTGACTCTTGAATTTGGTCAAAACATGGGAAGCTGTTGTGGGTGACATTTTTTAAAAGACTGGAAGCAACTCTACATGGCTGTCATATTGGTTGAATTTTATATGTCACAAATGAATTATTCTGATATAAATTACCTAAGTTTTGTGTTTATTTTAGAAAAATGTAAAACTATAGCCCCAGAAAATTCTTGGTTTAAAGTTTGATTTTGGGGGGTGGAGGGAGGGAGGTAATTAGGTTTATTTATTTTTAATGGAGGCTCTGAGGATTGAACCCAGGACCTCATGCATGCTCAGTACACACACTACCACTGAGCTATACCCTCCTGCTAAAATCTGATTTGAATTTTGGTAAATGATAGATAGCTATTTAACTGGTATCCATATGTTGTGACTCATATGTCTCCTAAAATCTGACAAGCATACAATAAACAACCAAGGGGGAGGGTGTAGCTCAAGTGATACAGCACGAGCTTAGCATGCACAGAGTCCTGGGTTCCAGCCCCAGGACTTTCATTAAAAAATAGTAACTTTTTTTTAAAAAAGAAAAATTAAAATCACTTCATTGTGGTGATATATTTGCGTAAAATAGATAATGCAATATAATGTCCAGATATTATGACTGTTAAAGTAGTGCTGTAAACTGAAACTTTTGAAACTTTTGGAAAGGAATGTGTTGTTTTATTAAAACTGTTAGAGACTGTTGCTTTGTATAAGTGTTTTTCAGGAGAAGTTAGTTTTGGCTGTCAGGAGAGGAGAACGTGATTAACATTCATGCACAGTATCTAGACTTTGAGAGAATTTTAGACTGTGAAACAGGAACTTGAAAAAAGTAAAGGTTTTGAAATCATGGAGAAAAGGGATGTGATGGTCAGTCAGAAGAGGAGGAGTAAAGGAAGACTCAAAACTAGAAAAAAAGGAAACCATTGCTTCATTTAAATTTTAAATCATTTAAAAGATACTGTCCTAAGAGGAGAAGCGCTCAATTTCTGTAATTTAGTGATAGGCTTTTCCTTTTGTTTTTTTAAAGAATTCTACCTTAAGAATTACATGGAGGGGAGGGGTATTTTGGGGTCACTTACACATCGATACAGAAATAATGAATCGGTAGGTAGCACCGAGTTAAATATTGCACTACCCTAATTCTTTACATTACTTTGGACGCACAGATATGGTCCAGGTCTGCACGCGGCGGGCTAGTCTTCTGACGCTGTGGCGTGCCTCAGGAAGTCATCACGCACGTGCGGCCTCTGCGGCCGCGTGGCTCAGAGTGATGCTGTGACACACTCGGCCAGTCTTCATTATTCTGCTCTTTCTGTTGTTTTTACGTTTAAGTTTTTATTAAAATGCTTTTAAGGATACTTACATGTTCTTTAGTAGAGAGATTATTTATAGTCGAGTTGTGTGGTTGTGTCTCGGTGCGCACACCGGACACGTGTGCGTCTTCATGGTGAACGCTGGCGTCGGCTGGGAGGAGAGAAGCTGGGCTAGTCCACGCTATAGCCGGTGAGCTCTTCACACAGCGGTGAGCGTGGCCTCTGCGTGGTGTGTACCCAACGAGCAAAGTCACGTGGAGTTAAAAATCCTTCCCAGGTTTGGAGTTGGAAATGAGGGCTCACGGGGGACTTGGAGGTGATTATGGGGAAAAGCAATTTCTTGTGGGTGTCGTGTACTGAACTCACAGAGCTCCTTGTGCTGTTGGCAACACGTAAAGAACTGAAGTTCTAAACCTCTGCTTGAAGGATATTTGGCCATACAGACCGAGAGGCTGCAGTTGGGATTACACAGAGTAGGAGCGTTGAGGATTTTGATGCTTTGAACCTGGTGTTTGGGTGAGCAGTCGCATTTGATTCCATTTCCTGGAAAAAGCCCCCTCTGAGACATAACGTCTTTCCACTTCCTCTTAATACACGTAACTGATGTCAACAGTATTTATGGAGCCTCTGCTTTCTGCAGTTAAATAGAAGACAGGAAAGAGAATTAAACAAGTATCTTTGTTTAGGTTTGTTTCCTTTTTTAACATTTATTCATCTTTGACGTTGTCACCTGGCACTGACTATGGGACCCAGACGAGGTGCAGGTGCACGACTCTTGCTCTGCGTGCCGTGAGGTCTCCCATGTTCCCGGGACCCACAAACCCTGGGATGTGACTCTGCCTTCGCCGCTGCCTCTGTGCTCGGACCGTGTGGGCTCTGGGGCCGCAGGGTCAGCGTCCTCCTGCCGCCTTCATGGCACATCGCCACTAGCCCTGTCCCCAGGGAGGGCCCCGTGCTGCACGTGTGAGCTGGAGGAGGACAGGTGGTCCTCTGCAGACCGGCCCCCCGGTTACGGGTCAGTGCCTGTCTCACACCCCACCTCATTTAAAATAAAGTCACAAGCCCTCTGGTGAGCATATAAAGTATTGCGATGTTCTGTTCTCTTCCTGAGTGGAAGAGTTTAGTAATTATACACATACTTTGTTTAATGAATTTGAATGTCTAACAGATAAACAATTTATCACCATTTTAATGTCAGCTTGCAACTCCTAAAAAAAGGCAACTAGATTGTCATAATTTTTTGTGCATCTTTGCCCAGCACAGTGCTAACTATTAAGTACTTGATCAATACTTTTCATTATTAGACAGTTTACATGCCAAAATTTGCCTTTTAATTAATAAAATGGGACCTTGAAAACTAAGGAAACGAAGCTGGAAGAGAGCAAGTGCAGCGCTCCCGTCGGGGACGAGGGCTGCGGGTCCTGCTCAGGTGCTTCGTTTTGTGCGCTTGGGCGCCACCGCCTCTCGCGCCCTGGGCTTTTTGCTGTGGGAAATTCCAGAGATGCACGGAAACAGAATGCCCAGCTTCAACAGCTGTGAGCTGTATTTCGTCTCCACTCCTCCATCCCCAGACTGTCGTGAAGCAGATCCTAGACATCATAGTTTTGTCCACAGGTATTTAGGTCTGTTTCTCTAAAAGGAGGTCAAGGCTCTGTGCTTAGACTACGTGGGAGAAGACCTAGGATTCAATCAGTGAGTTCTCTTCCGAGTGAAGTAGCAGCCTCACACCAGCAGGCGCCTCGTGAGAAGACAGGCTTCTTTAGCAACTGGGACGGACGTGCCGGTGGGTCGCCGTGTCCGCGGGCTGGTGATCTCCTCGCTCTAGAGTCCAGGCCGACCTGACCACCGGCCGAGCTCCGGCAGTCCCTTGCTTTCGGCTCTGCCTCCACAAGGGGGCAGATAAAGGAAGAGAAAAGTGAAATTTCAGTGAACCTGATCTGAGTTTCACTTTTATTCATCCACCTACCGGAGTCGCAGAACATTTTTGGAGTGATTTTTCAGAAACCAGCGGTGACTTCCTTCTTTGAAACAGTTCTCGGTGGCCCTCCTTGCTCTTTAGAGGCAAAATAATGTTAGATATTTTGAAAGGGTGTTAAGCAATAATCCTTAAGAAAAAAGTTTCCAAACCATGTCATAGCCTTTACTTTTCTCTGTTAATGATTTGGGCTTTAATGAATATATAGCGTCTGAACTTACAACTAGTTTTTACAAGCTCTAGTTTTGGATAACTGTTGTTGAAATTTCTCATTGAGTGACGAGACTGTGAAAGTCAATGTCTTCAGTGGGGCATTTGGTTAGCGTGGCAGGGACGTGACGGCCGTCTTTATGCCCAAGCAGCTTTCTCATCTCTTAAACCTCAGTGCTGTGCCAGTGTCTTTGAGTGAGTTTCGTCCGTAAACACCTGCAGGCGCGTCCTGGTCACTCTCTGTGCAGCAGAGACCGAGTTCTGTGTGAAGCAGCTTGATGTTGAACACCTGGACGTCATAAACCTTGATTTTTAGACAGGGTGGGGGGTTTAAACAAGCATCTCTAGGGTTTCATGTAAACTGATGGGCACTCCGATGGGTAGTTCTCTTCAGTACAACGCGTGCTCACTCCTGTGTTCTTTCTTGTTTCCCGGGGAATATGTTACTTTTGGGGAAATGCTGGTTTCCAAGGAGACTGTATGAGACTCATTGTAGAAGAGATTTTAGCTTGTTACAAGATATTGGGGGGGAGTGAGGAGATAAACTTGTAGAAATTGCTTCTTCTTTTTTTGCGTATATTTTGGCGTCTGTTTTCCATCAGTGTTTCCTTCTGTGGCCCCCGTTAAGATGTCAGGTGATGAGGGTTTATATATCCCTGCAGCGTGACACATAATTATAATGAAACTGTTATCCTACATTCCTGTAGCATTCTTTTTTCCAGCACTTAATGCCTTTTATTCCTTAGCTTCAGACGTGAATTATGTAGCATATGTGAAGAGGCTTAAACTGGTTCCATTACATTCTTTCTGGATAGCTCTGTTCTATTTAGGATATACTTACACTTTAGACAAAGTAAGAATGTCACTGTGCTTGACCTTGACACCAGATAACTGGGCAGACACTATATAGCCATGTTTGAATCCTCACAAAATGTGCTCTTGAAGCCAACGGAGTCCTGGCGGGAGGCCCTTCTGGACAGCAGGGTCATGGAGCTGTTCTTTACCGTAAGTCCTGCCTTGCCTGGGTGGGGGGCGGGGGGCACGGAAAAGAGGGCGTGTTTTTGTGTTTTTCTTAAGTGAAACAGGGCAGATTGCTTTTGTCCTCTAAAGCCTTCTCTTCTAATCAGTGTATCTGCTGAAACAAAGATATTGACCTGTTCTTGCTCGTTTATAAATGTTACATAATTATGAGAGTTTAATGTCCTAAGGCTTGAGCTTTTTGGTCTCAGGACCCCTTTACCCTCGTAAACATCGTTGAGGGCCCTGAAGAGCTTTTGTTTAGTTATAGCCATTAATATTTATCATGTTAAAAATTCAAGTTGAGACCTTTAAAAAACAGCAATACCAAACCATTACATATTAACATAAACAGCATTTCAGTGACAAGTAGCTGTATTGAAAACAAAAAGTTCAGTGAGAAGAGTGATGTCGTTCCCATTTTGCAAATCCCTCTGGAGTCTGGCAGAGTAGAAGGCAGCCAGGTTCTCACACCTGCCCCTGCGTCGTCCTGCAGTGTCACAGTCACCGCAGACGTGTGTGTGTGACAGTGAGGCGGGAAGAGGTGATCCCGTGCACTCGGTAGTCGTGCGAGAACGGTCCTGACCTTACAGACAGCCTGTTAGCGGGCCTGAGGGACCTCCGGGGACCCCCAGACCACGCTTGGAGAATGGAGCTTTGTGTGCGAGTCTCAGTCACAGGCTGAGTCATGTTACTGAACATCAGCTCATTTCCTCTGTGACTCAGAGTCGTCCTGTTTATTATTTGCTAAATATCAAGAGGTAAGGAGTATACCCCATGTTTGCTCAGGAGGCCCCTTTGTGGTCACCAGAAGCTGGGGGAAAATACATCTGTGTGTGTGTGTGTGTGTGTGTGTGTGTGTGTGTGTATTTTGGATGCTGACTTGCAGACAGAGGGCGAGCATGCAAGTTAGTTAGATGTGGTGACTGGGGCAGAAGTCCAAGTAAAGACCAATTAAAAAGACAAAAAGCTGTTTTGCTTAATACCAACCATTAATTATAGTTTACCTTTTAATTTGTTTTAAAAATACTGTTCACTAGCTTTAAAACTACCTTCATTTTGAAACATTTAAAATATTGTGGGTGTGCGGTAGATATTTAAAAAGGGCTGGAACAAGCTTGTTCACCCCTAGATACACCTAAAGGTATTTCCTATAGAAATGTCCAGACTGCCTTTTCCTCCTTAAATCTGAGAAATGTTGGCTGAAAACGTGGTCAGTATGGAAGGTAATTGTAACTAAATTTTAACCTTCTGTTGCCTGCCTCCTCTCCCAGAAGCTGTTTTGTTGTGTATCCAAGTGCAGTTCTTTGTGTCACTCGTTTGACTGAAAGCACATCCCGTTCCAGCAGTTTCTGAAAAGGTGAAAAACTTGCTGGCGGTACTGGAGCAGCTCTCCCGTCTGAACAGCTGTCTGGACGCAGCAGACAGCTGCTCCTGTCAGCTGTGAACCAGCACATGCAAACAGCTTCTGAATTTGAGAGTTAACCCCTTTTTACTTCATTATTTTAGCAGTTTTGTGTTTGTGGCCTGTGACCTTCATTTATGCAGTTAATAAGCAATTTTAATTTTGTTATTTGTTACAAAAATAGCAGTGGCTAATCTTTTTATTTCATTTAATTTTTAGTAGATTTATTTTCAATTCTGTGAATTCATTACCACCTTAAACACTTTTCCACTGGATGCCACTATTCTCTGGATTTGACTCGGTGCGCACCCGTGCCCGCCCTGTATCTTGCGGTCAGAGGCCAGAGGCCGCGGGGTCTGCCGCACGAGCTCCGGGCTTCTCGCCTGCCCTTGCTCCCGTTAGGGTGGGTGAAGCCCTCTCCTCGGTTCTTGCTTCTGGGTGTTCTCCCTGATCTCGTTTGTGGCCTCGTCCTGCCCTGCCCGCCGCACACATGCCAGTGCCCCGGCCTGTCCTCTCCTGGGGCTTCTGAGCCACACGTGGCCTGTCAGGCACCCGCACCGATGACTCCTCGTCTATATTCGGCCCGGCCGCTCCAGGCGCCAGAGCCTGGCGGTCCCGGCGCTCACTGGGTGTCTTCACTTGGACGCCACGGGCGCGGCAAAGTCAACACGTTCCATACAATTCGTCTTCTTACCAACATGCTTTTCTTTGCTCCTTTCTGTGTTTCTTGTCTCGCTTCTCCTCCACCTCCTGTTCTCTGCCAGACTGGGCTTCTCTCTGCCCGTCTGCTGCTTACCCTGCTCAGGTGATGAGTTCAGCCTTAAATTTGTACGACAGCATTCAGATGTGGAAGAATTCCTTTGTAACGCTAACGCTGGAAGGTGGGCAAGAATCTGCCATTACAGAAGAGTTAATCACTGGTTTATCATGAGTTTTATGTGGCTCGTATTTCAGAGGACAGAAGGATGAGCAGAACAGTCAAGCTCAGAGGACGTTTTACTTTGTTCATGATTACACAGTCAGGTTTCAGAGGAAGAGCCAGCGTGGATTCCTCACGTCTCGGTGGGAATGGAGCAGCCTTTGGGTGCTGTGGGTGGAGGAGGCGCCCTCTCTGGCCCCAGACTGCGTTGTCTGTATCGTGTTTAAATGTTGATAAGCTTAAAAACACAATGACGAGAATGTAGTTACCGGTTTCAGATAAGGAGCTTAAGGACAAGTTGTGCTCAGAAGCTCACGAGTCAGGGTGGGTGTGTGGATCTGAGTGTGCACTTTTAATTTACTATATGTACAACTTAGAATAGAGTATCTTTTGAAGAAATTCGTGTTGTAGCCCAGGGATTGACGCGTCCCTTGAGGGCTCCGCGGGCCATGGGCTGTGAGGCCGCCCTGCCCTGCAGCACGGAAGCCGTGACAGTGCAACTCATTATGGTCCTCAAAACAGGAATTTTGTGTCATTTTCTCGTGTCTTGAAATGCTGCTATTCTTTGGTCTTGTTTTCTCCAACCACGTAAAAAGGTAAAACCAGTCTTACCTCCCAGGCCACGTAAAAGCGGCAGGAGGCTAGGTCTGGACTGTGGGCTGTGGTTTGCTGACCCCTGTTGTAAACCCAAGAGGGAAGCATATTTTCAGCATGTCAGTAGATCAGTTAACTTGGTAACTTACAGAAAAGGTTTTAATATTTTATATTTCTTAGAACCTTAAGAAGTCCGAGGATTAACGGACTCAGTCAGTGAATCACGGGTTTATGAGGGTCTTTCACTGTGTCCCAGCTTTGTACCAGGGACTCTGGAGAAACGTTCTGACTTCAGGTAATTGCTGAGTGGTTTGCTGGGTCAGAGTGAACGTAACCTGAAACAAATAGGGAATAAATGTTTAAATTGTTTGACAGTCGGAAAGCAGAGATTTGTGTAGGAAGAGAAGGGCCAGAGAAGTCTAATGCTTGTGGAAGGTAGAAAGTGGCCACAGTGGATGTGGCAGGTTAGGGCAAGTAATTACCTGCGATTTCTTTGCTGTACTTAGTTTTCTTGGCTGTTTTAATTATGCAAACCTGAGAATATTTAATAACATTGTAAAGTTAGGGAGCAACATTTGGGGGGATTTCCTTCATCAGAACTCTGTATGCTGGATGTTTCACATCAGTACTGCATCATTGAAATGAATTCTAGATGAAGTTTAAAGTGGATTTAAGTATAATTTTGAAAAATTAAATAGTGTAAGCATTTATTAATAGTGATGGAGGATAAAATGAGACTCAACATGTTGCCGGCGTGTCCGAGTTCTGAAGGACTGGGTTGGTGTGTGGCCTGAGTGAACGAGGGGTACCTAGGAAGGGAGGGGTACTGGTGTCCTGAGTGTGTGTTTGCTTGCACGAAGCCACGTCCCTGTGCTCTTGCCTGAACTCTGCTAACTTTAGTGAGAAGCTGCCGCGAGGCATAGTTGGCGTGATACGGATGACTGTCGGCGCTGCCGTTTTTAGAAGAAGCAGTGTGTCTGGCTGGCTGGCATCTGTTTCTCTCTTTGTCTTAACATGCTGGACACAGTTCAGTTTTTCAAAATGTAGGTAGCCCTCAGCCACAAATCAATGGGTGTGTTGAAAATCATGGCCTAGAACGTAAAGTGGACACAGGGATGGGCATAAAGTGTAGTTTAATTCAGGAGTTAGTTTTCTAGAAATAACGAGCTACAGTGAATTTTTCTCTCACCTCACGGGCATGACGGACACGTGACCCTCACAAAGGAGAGTTTGTTTTTACGGATTAGCGATTCTTTCCGCCAGGTACACCGCAAGGTCAGAGAAGACTCGGACATGGCCCAGGACTCGCTGCAGTGCCTCGCGCAGCTGGCCTCGCTGCACGGCCCCGTCTTCCCCGACGAGGGGGCGCAGGTGGACTACCTGGCACACTTCATCGAGGGCTTGCTGAGCACGGTCAACGGGTAGGCGGGCCTCCCCCCCGGCCGAGGCGGGGCTTGCGGGTCTCTCTGCGCTTAGCGTGGAGGAGACAGGGAACTAGGGACCCCCCTTCTGCACTCTGAGTGTGGCTACATGTGTCATTCGGAGTCAGTCCACGGGGACTTGCCTGTAAGAATGAGCAGGTGACAGAGTCTGCCCGTTTGGAGACGAGTCACTTCGGCTGCGCGCAGTGTGACTCGTGGCTTGGCTTGCAGGATCGAGATAGAGGACTCTGAGGCCGTGGGCGTCTCCAGCATCATCAGCAACCTGATAACCGTGTTCCCCCGGAGCGTCCTGACCGCCATCCCCACGGAGCTCTTCTCCTCCTTCGTGAACTGCCTCACGCACCTCACGTGCTCTTTTGGGCGGAGCGCCGCGCTGGAGGAGGTGGTGAGTGGCTGTTCTGAAACCCCTCGTGTGGTCCCGTGAGGAGGTGGCTGTGCCTTTGGAAGGCTTCTCATGACAAGCGATGCCTTTGAAGGAGCGCGTTTTTGTTTGCATGTGCAAACTGGCAGTCTGTGCTTGGAAATGGGACTTTTTAAAAGTTTGTGGATTAAAATCACTTTAGTAGGTTAAGTTATATTGGTCTGAAGATTTTGGGTTGAATAATTTAGTATTTGTAGGAAATGGAGTGAATTGTTTATATTAAAAACGATATTGAAAGCCCATTTTAACAATAAACACTGTAAGTTCATAGGGTGCTGTTAAGTTTATGGTATGATTGTGATTATATGTAATTTAAATTTTTTTTTTTACAATTTCAAAACTTTAGACTTACTGGAAATTATGTGAATATGATTTGTTTTTGATTAGACTGTGCTCTTCTTTTTTTGGTGCCATGGTTTAATAGTGTGTGTTGGCAAATTTTAATTTACAGTAAAATTAAGACCAATGACAGTACTAAAGGTAATTTTTGGTACAGATTTTTAGATGCATATCTTCCAAATTTTATATTTAATTTAGAAAACATGTACTAAATTCCTTGACGACACTGCTGTGTTTGTAATAGTTACTGTGAGTTACTCAATAATCGTGGGAAATAGTGGATTTCTTTCCTACAAAGTAGTTACCGTATTGTTGAAACTAATTTTTCTTTTTGTGAAGTGAGGATCCTTTTGAGAGATTGTAGGGGTGAAAAGTGTCTGTAGACCTGTGATGGGACTTGGGTCGAAGTCTAACTGGGCTGTCTCACTGGGGGTCTGGCACAGGTGGGAGTGTCTGTATCCCTTCAGAGGTGTCTGGGGACGAAGAACTTGGGAAGTACTGTGTTAAGTCGTGGCCCTTCGTGGTTTGATGAGGGAGTGAACCAGGTCAGGAAGGTATTTATGTGTCGGGAAAGAGTAGGTCTTGGAGGAATGGAAATTTAAAGGCCTTGTGTGTGAGATTTGAATACCTAGGGGAGAAAAATTACGTTCTCAGCATGGAAATGCAGGGAAAATTTAAGTATTTAAGTTTTACTTAGACCCCTTTCAAACTGTCAAAAAATCTGAGTCGCTTGGATTTCGTGGCCCGTGTTCCCCCTTGTCTTCTCTTCTGAACCGGCCGGATTAAACTGCACGTTGAGTGCGTCCTGAGAGACACAGCCGCCTTTTCGTTTCTGTTTATGGGTTAAGGATGCTCCTCACCATTGTATAGAGGAATTGCTGGAAGATACGTAACATTCTTGGTTTGCAGAACTGAAGTTTAGAATCTATTTGTTTTGCCCAGAAGACTAACAACTTGGAAGACAGTCTTCCTGCTGAGGCTTGACGTGGGCGTGCTGGCGGGGAGAAGGCCTCGCTCTTCAGGGGAGCAGGCGAGCCTCGTGCCGCCTCCCAGGAAGGCGCTCTCCTTGCGGTGTTCCCTTATGGGCTTCGTCTAGGAAAGTGTTACTTGTTTTCATTTCTTTCAGTTAATTGTTTTTAAATTGGTCTGTTTATGGCATTTAAAAAAAGTTTTAGAAACAATTGGTTACCCGTTGAAAGGGGTAAAAAGAGGCAGCAGAAGATTGTCCAGTGCATGTTGTGACCCACAGCAGCCAGACTGGCAAGGGTTGGTGAGGTTGGGAGCTGGGGGGTCTGCACAGTGAGATTCGTGAAGACTGAATGCGCCCTGATGTCATCTCAGCCGCGTTGCATGGTCGTTCTGTGCTGTGTGCACCGGAGGCGGGGGCCTGGGGAGGTGCCTGGAGCAGCGGGGTGCCTGGGTTGGCAGATCCAGCCTGGCCGGAGCACGGCTCTTCGGACACAGGCCTGGGCACCCCGTGCACAGTATGAAGTTGTTGATCTGAGATGGAAAATATGCAGAGCAGGTTTTAACAAACTGCTCTGGGGAGTCAGCGTGGTGCAGAAGGACCAGAATGCTGGGGGCGGGTGGCACGCTGGTGAGTCAGAAGTGACCCTGAGCCGCAGGGCCCTGGGCAAGTTGCTTAACCTTCGTGAGCTATTCCCTGGCTGCTGCAGTTAGGAGACTGGCTGCTTCTGGTGACCGTGGGCAGGTCGATGGCATGAAGGAGCCAGTACGGCGCACAGGCACGTGTGGAATGATGCGGACAGAAGCAGCCTTCCTACTGGCCTTTCTGGCAGCCCATTGTGTGTGCTGCTCACCAAGGCAGACCTGCCTTGAGCTTGTTGTTTTATGCAAGTCAATAATTTTAATACTAGGTTTTCAAAAATAATTTTAATCTTGTGAAATGTGTTCTGTTTTCATTTAGTATTGAAGGAGCTTCTTTTCCCAATAGGAAATAGATTGAGCACATGCACACACTTTTGTTTTGTTGTGATAATACTTTTTCAGAGCTGTATTTATTTAGGAATACATACAGATTGTCTCTGTTTTTAGAAGCTCGTGATCTTCGATGGTCTGATAGTAATCACGTTGCTCTAGCAAGAAAAAAAGAGCATTTTCAAGGGAAGAAAAAGTCTTGGTACTAATGCGTGTTCATGCAGTACGTCCTTGTTGGATGGCTTCAGCGCGCACGTGTGTGTGAGGTTATTTATGACCACCCTCATCTTGCCGCGAATGGAAAGTCTGTGCTCAAAGGAGCTATTCCAGTCTTCAGCCACTTTATTCTGTTGGTTGTTAAAATTTCTTGGTGTTAACTTCCTGAGGCTTCCTGAAGCCAAAAATTTTTTCTTTGCACCCAAGTTACTGTCTGTCGTATACTGAAGAGGTGAGAATGATTGTAAGATGAAACTATTGCCTTAGAAATTAAAACACTAACAAAAAGTTGTTCACATTATTATGTCCACTATTTTGTAAAATGTTTATAATACTGCACATACTGATAGTGTATGCATTTACACTGGGTCAGTGAAGTTTGAAGAGACTGTGACCTGGGCTTTCTACCCGAGTTTGTTTTGTGGTCCCTTTTGTCAGCAGAAAAATTTTAAGTTCAGCCCCAGGAGGCTCAGCAGATGAATGACCCACGCGTGTTGCTGAGCAGAGCAGCCCTCGTGGGCCCTCCGTGGTGAACGGGATGGGGCTGTGGGTTGGGTGTAAGCGAGGTGACGGTAAATTAACTTTATAAAGGAAGAGTTTTACATTTAATTTTGGTACATTCGTACCCTAATCTCAAGACCAACAGGATAAGGTAGTAAAGAAGAAGAATCTTGATACAGTTGTTAAGAAGTTCATTATAGAACGTAATGCAGTAAAATAATTTTGCAGTTCCTTGAGTGAACGAGGACGTTTAAAGTTCAGCATTCTTAGCTCAAAATCTAGTTTCTCTAGCTCGACAGATAATTACTTTGTAGAGAGGAGATGTGGTAAAAAGGAATACATTGAAGCCAAGTTACAAATTGAGAAGTGGGTCGCGGAAATTTGGAGGTAGTTCAGTGATGAGAGGAAGTAACTTACTTTTTGGAATAGTGATGTTGGTGCCACACAGATGTGTGGTTGGCCTTGCACCTTAGCTCAGAGAGGATGGGATGGTTTGAGAAACCATGCAGCTTCCCTACCCTGCGGTCTGACAGCCGGGAAGGGGTACATTGGTGATGCGGTCAGGGCAGGACGCCGTCCAGCACGTCACGTGCATTCACTTCCTCTGCTTGAAAGGTCAGAGAAAAGAATTCACTGCGATGCATGGCCATTTAAAGTATACTTCTCTTTCTTACTAACAGTGGCTTCAGCTCCGTTTAGGGTAGTTGGAAGAAAATTGGTTACTGTTACAGCTTAAATATAGATTCTTACTAAAAGAAGTCCTTAGTAAACAATTTCCGTGTTTTATTTAATTCTGATCGATGGTAGTTCTGCTGTGCACCGTTCCTGACTGGCGTATGAGTCAGCTCTGATTTTTCAGTCTGCTGCCATCCTAGTGTGGAGCCAGTTGCTCATGTTGCAGAATTCTTGCACTTGAGGTAGAGAGTAGTAGATTGAGAATAACCCTTGCTTCTTGTTATAACTGTTGTTCCGAATTGTACCCTTTGTGTTGCTTTAACACTGGCATTAGAAACAAGCCAGATCTCACCGCCATGGTTTCAGAAGGGAACAGTCCAGGGCAGTGGCGCTTCCACCTCAGGGGAGCCCAGCGGGCCCGGTGCTGGCCCGTTTGGGGCACTGCTGGACTAGCTCGGTTCTGTCAGTATTCATCCCCACCTGCCTGTACCTTCTTTAGCATTAAGCATTTGGGTATTCATGTATATTTCCAAAAAGAAGAAATTATGTTAATCTAGCAGTGTAACCTGCAAAAGCTCTGAAAACTACACTTGGACTCCTGGTGTTTTTGAGGGGCCGACTTTTTAAGGGATCTGTCTGCTGGGCTCCTCTGACAGCTGCAGGGCCTGTGCGCTAGCGCAGTTTCTCTGGGGGGTTTCAGAAGCCGGGCGCTGCCAGCTGCACAGGGACTCTGGACTTAGATTGGTTCTGTGCTGTAAGGACTGGCTGGGGAAAAATGACCAGAGAATGAATGAATTTCTTTTGCATTTGACATTCAGAGACTTCTAAGTTCTTTTTCAAATGGAGAGCTCACGATGTCCGTCTGTGGCATTTCTGTGATTTTTCTCAGTATTGCCATTTTTGCCTTAAAAGACACCACCCTAGGAAAGGAGTCCGTGTGGCAGATGAATGACAGTGTAAACTCACGGTTCTTCCAGGCTTCGCTCTTCCTCACTAATGCTTTACGCTGTGCAGTACAGTGTGTTATTTGATCTGTCGTTGGACTTGGGGGATCCGGCAGTGCCTGTAGATTTTGAGCTTATTGTGAAATAGCTTATTCATATAAAGTGAAAACTTTATATAAACATTGTCGAGAATAGTGAAGTGAACAACAGTGTAACATCCATCCAGATTAAGGAACAGTGTGTTGATAAAGCCGTTTTCCCTTTACGCTCACCTGGAGTTTCCCCCGATCTGTTATTGCAAGCACGTTCTATGTTGTAAGTTGTTCCTGCCAAATGCTTTTGCATCGTGTT